CTGGATCGGGGAAAGGTAAGTTTGTGCCTGTGCGGGTGTGAGTGTGTCATTGGCCATGGCTGCCAGTGTTGCTGGCAAGCTTATTAACCAAGTTGGAATTGGTGATGGCCAATATCAGTGTTTGGTTCATTGACATTTTCACAACTCATTTAGTTTTTGTGCTGACGACTAAGGGGCGGGAAGGAGAGGGAACGAACCTAGGGGAATTCTTATAATTTATTTTGCTGCATTGCACGAATTTTCTTTTGTCCCCCAGTTTTTTTTGCTGCATCTGCTTCTTCTTCGTGTGGAAAATGTCACACTGTCTTTGTGCTTAATGTCTTTACTAAGCTGCTGTGACAAAGAGTCCTAAGGGACAGACCACACATTTTTTATTAAAACGCAAAAAGGGGGCGAAGAGTTACTTTGGCTGACAATGAAGGTCATTTATCTCTCAGAGAGCAGGGTAGTTCCATGTTGTTAATAAAAATTAAAAAATATTAAATTTAAATTTAAAAAACTAATTTTCAGATCTGTCCAAAAAATTAAAAAAAAAAATTCCGAAAATCCAAAGACGTGGATTTTTTAAAAATTATTTTTTCAATAAATCCACAGACGTGGATTTTTTAAAAATTATTTTTTCAATAAATCCACAGACGTGGATTTTTTAAAAATTATTTTTTCAATAAATCCACAGACGTGGATTTTTTAAAAATTATTTTTTCAATAAATCCACAGACGTGGATTTTTTAAAAATTATTTTTTCAATAAATCCACAGACGTGGATTTTTTAAAAATTATTTTTTCAATAAATCCACAGACGTGGATTTTTTAAAAATTATTTTTTCAATAAATCCACAGACTTGAATTTTTTTAAAATTATTTTTTCAATAAATGGATTTTTTAAAAATTATTTTTTCAATAAATCCACCGACGTGGATTTTTTAAAAATTATTTTTTCAATAAATCCACAGACGTGGATTTTTTAAAAATTATTTTTTCAATAAATCCACAGACGTGGAATTTTTAAAAATTATTTTTTCAATAAATCCACAGACGTGGAATTTTTTAAAAATTATTTTTTCAATAAATCCACAGACGTGGAATTTTTTAAAAATTATTTTTTCAATAAATTCACAGACGTGGATTTTTTAAAAATTATTTTTTCAATAAATCCACAGACGTGGATTTTTTAAAAATTATTTTTTCAATAAATCCACAGACGTGGAATTTTTTAAAAATTATTTTTTCAAGGATCCATTTAACGTAAATTTTAAAAAAAAATATTTTTTCAATGATCCATTTAACGTGAATTTTCTAAAAAAAAAAAAATTTTTTCAAGGATCCATTAAACGTCAATTTTTAAAAAAATATTTTTTCAAGGATCCATTAAACGTGGATTTTTTTAAAAAATATTTTTTTAAAGATCCATCAGACGTGGATTTTTTTAAAAAATATTTTTTTAAAGATCCATCAGACGTGGATTTTTTAAAAAAATTTTTTAAATTTTTAAAAAAAAATTTTTTCAAGGATCCATTTAACGTGGATTTTTTAAAAAATATTTTTTCAAGGATCTATTTAAATTATTTTTTCAATAAATCCACAGACGTGGATTTTTTAAAAATTATTTTTTCAATAAATCCACAGACGTGGATTTTTTAAAAAATTATTTTTTCAATAAATCCACAGACGTGGATTTTTTAAAAAATTATATTATCAATAAATCCACAGACGTGGCTTTTTTAAAAAAATATTATTCAATAAATCCACAGACGTGGATTTTTAAAAAAATATTTTTTCAATAAATCCACAGACGTGGATTTTTTAAAAAAATATTTTTTCAATAAATCCACAGACGTGGGTTTTTTAAAAATAATTTTTTCAATAAATCCACAGACGTGGATTTTTTAAAAATTATTTTTTCAATAAATCCACAGACGTGGATTTTTTAAAAATAATTTTTTCAATAAATCCACAGACGTGGATTTTTTAAAAATTATTTTTTCAATAAATCCACAGACGTGGATTTTTTAAAAATTATTTTTTCAATAAATTGTGAATTTTGTAAAAAATATTTTTTCAAGGATCGATTAAACGCGGATTTTTTTAAAAATATTTCCCCAAACGATCAACAAACCTTAAAATTAAGGATTTCTGCTCCTCCGCCTCTCTCTCCCCTTGAGCACTTAAAGGAAAATCCATCAGCATTTTGGTTTCCTTTAGCTCTGCTTTATTATTCCCCGGATAAATTTAGTGTTTTGCTGTGTAAAACCCCAGGAAAACGTGTCATTTCTCTAAACACAGAGCAATGATTTACTTAGTTTTCCACATATTTTCTTTCTCTTCCCCACTCAACTCCCTCGCAGCAAATTTGTTAGAATAGTTCACTTCATTAGACAGACAACCGTTACCCGGAGTATATTAAAACTAATAACATTTTCATAAGCATTCAGCCAGGACAGATTCGAGGACACAGACTTACAACAGGAAAACATTCACACCAACAATCCGAATGCCACCATAGGGCCTCAAGTGACGCGATATTCCCCTTAGCTTGTTGCCATCACGTAGCTTTTTCATGTTTCCTGTTTTGTTTCTTACTCTACTTTTTCTTTTTCGTCTACTTTTTTCCTTTTTATTATTTATGAACATTTCCGTTTTGGAATTGGCTTTAACCAATACCAACCACTGTGGTGGTGTGTGGTTCTCGCTGGCCCCTGGTTTGCTGATTATCTACGACACCAACAACAACTTGGCTCCTCTGCAGTACGTTTCAATCTTGCGACCTCCAGTCGAACAGACAGGTGGCGAAGGTATCGATAAAGTTGAATGGAAACAGGTGAGTCGTTCTTTTTTCTATTCTCCTCTATGTGTTATTTATTTATAGCAAATAATCTTAATTGCAAGAATAACAACAAGAAGAATAGCAAGTGGAAAGTGTTCAAAAATGAATGAAATGATAGAAAATTCATGGGATATTAAATTGGGGGGAAAATGATTGGGAAATTTAAAGATTTCGAAATAAATAAGACAGGTGTAAACTGAAATTAATATTTTGTGAAGGACGCTGGGGTATATGAGTGGTGGTAGAACGTATACGCTATAGAGGGATCAATTTAATGAGACTTGAAGTGTAAAAGAGATGGCATTTTAAAAAAAAAATATTTTTTCAATAAATCCACAGACGTGGATTTTTTAAAAAAATATTTTTTCAATAAATCCACACAAGTGGATTTTTTAAAAAATAATTTTCAATAAATCCACAGACGTGGATTTTTTAAAAAATATTTTTTCAATAAATCCACAGACGTCGATTTTTTAAAAATTATTTTTTCAATAAATCCACAAACGTGGATTTTTTAAAAATTATTTTTTCACTAAATCCACAGAGGTGGATTTTTTAAAAATTATTTTTTCAATAAATCCACAGACATGGATTTTTTAATTTTTTTTCAATAAATCCACAGACGTGGATTTTTTAAAAAATATTTTTTTCAATAATCCAAGCAACGTGGATTTTTTAAAAAAATATGTTTTTCAATAAACCCAGCAACGTGGATTTTTTAAAAAAATATTTTTTAAAAGAATCTCAAAACGTGGATTTCTTAAAAAACATTTTTTAGAAGATTCTTTAAACGTGGATTTTTAAAAAATATTTCTTAAAAGATTCTCTAAAAAAAATTTAAAAAAAAAATATTTTTCAAAAGAATCTCTGAACGTGGATTTTTAAAAGATTCTCTAAACTTGGATTTTTTAAAAAATATTTTTTAAAAGATTCTCTAAACGTGGATTTTCTAAAAAATATTTTTTAAAAGATTCTCTAAACGTGGATTTTTTAAAAGATTCTCTAAACTTGGATTTTTTAAAAAAATATTTTTTAAAAGATTCTCTAAACTTAGATTTTTTAAAAAATATTTTTTAAAAGATTCTATAAACTTGGATTTTTTAAAAAATATTTTTTAAAAATTCTCTAAACACACAGACGTGGATGTTTTAAAAATTATTTTTTCAATAAATCCACAGATGTGGATTTAAAAAAAATATTTTTTCAATAATCCACAGATGTGGATGTTTAAAAAAATATAGACGTGGATTTTTAAAAAAAATATTTTTCAATAAATCCACAGATGTGGATTTAAAAAAATATTTTTTCAATAATCCACAGACGTGGATGTTTTAAAAAATATAGATACAGACGTGGATATTTTAAAACATATTTTTTTCAATAAATACACAGAATATTTTTTAAAAATTATTTTTTCAATTAATCCACAGATGTGGATTTTTTAAAAATTATTTTTTCAATAAATCCACAGACGTGGATTTTTTAAAAATTATTTTTTCAATAAATCCACAGACGTGGATTTCTTAAAAAATATTTTTTAGAAATAAATAAATCTACAGACATGGATTTTTTAAAAAATATTTTTTTCAATAAATCCACAGATGTGGATTTTTTTAAAGATTATTTTTTCAATAAATCCACAGATGTGAATTTTTAAAAAATTATTTTTTTTTTAATAAATCCAAAGACGTTTAAAAAATATTATTTTAACAAATCCACAGACGTGGATTATAAAATATTTTTTAAAAGAATCTCTAAACGTGGACTTTTTAAAAAATATTTTTTAAAATATTCTCTAAACTTGGATTTTTTAAAAAATATTTTTTAAAAATTCTCTAAACGTGGATTTTTTAAAGAATATTTAAAAAAACCCACAGACGTAGATTTTTAAAAAAATAAAATTCTATAAAAATCCAAATTTGTTGTTTCTTTGAAAAAATATTTTGAATATTGAATGCCTTGGCGTATGATTGTTGTCAGCACGTATACGCCCTAATTAGTTTCAATTAAAATCCTAATTATCTTAGCGAATCTTATGCTTTTTCAAAAGAAAACTTTTTTGCAAATCAAATCAAGAAGTTACCATCCTAATTGCATTCGAAACTTCAACACACAACTCTTTAGATTCCGAATTTCTCAAAACAAGACTAATGAAGAAGCCATGTAATCAATTTACAAGAAACAAATTGATTTGACATTTCAATTTTTCAAATTGGACAAATATCAATCATACACAGACACACACACACACCAGCAGCAGCATTTCTACTCAGTAGCTCCCTGCTGTCCTTTACAGTTTTGTACTTCAAAGTTCATTTAAAGTTTTATCGTCGTTTAAAGTTTTTCCTTTGCCAAGAGAAGATTTGTTGCATTCATTGGCATTTTTGGCCACCAACTCTTCTGTCGGTTCTCCTGCCAAAAAGGAAGTAATAAATTTCATTTGTTTGTTCTTATCTTTCAAAAATTTTGAACTCTCACAAACATGACTGCTTGGCATTCAATTTACGTGGTATTCAAGTGAAAAGCCAAATTATTTTGAAAAGAATTTTGAGAATTTTGTTAAAGGATTTGCTAAGGGGCCATGGAGAATTTCAAATGGCAAGTGTTCAGGAAGGACAAAATTTCAAAAATAAATAAATAATTTTTTTTTCAGAATATTTTAAGGACAGATTAAAAAAAATATTGAGTGGGGAATTTAAAAAAAAAAATATTATCTATAAAGACTTTGAAAGTTAAGATGTTTATAATATTTTATTTTTTTTAATATAATTTTGTAAGAAGTTTTATAAACGTGGAATTTTAAAATAATGTATTTACAAGAAAGTTAAACAACATGGAATTAAAAAATGTCCTTGCCTCAATTCATACTAAAATACCTATTTCCCCCTTAGCCGTCTTCAGTAGAGTTTTCAAATTAAATTATCTTCCGTCCCACCTCCATTTTTCATCGCCTAATCATGTTATCCTTTGTCCTTACCCATCATCTGCTAATGAATTCCCTGAAGTGAAAAACTTTTTCTTTTGCTATGAAATTAATTTAAAAGATTTTTATTTTGAGCATTATTCAATTATCCCAACTTCAGTTTAAAGATTCACCGTTTTCAAAACATTTCCAGTAAATGAAAACTTTTTTACCTTTACCTCCATAATTTTTCCATTGGAATTAGTTAGTCATTAGCCAAGATTAAGAAGTGGAAACCTTGGAATGTTTTCTTGTTGTTGTTGCTATTTCTCTTGTGGGGAAAATTTAATCTCATTTTTTTGTGCGGTGTTCCTCTATGAAATCCTTAAAATCATAAGTAAATTAGGGAAAGGAATTTTTGAGATAATTTTTGGGGGTGAAAAATTGCAGGGAGTAAAGGTAGCTCCTTTGTAATGCTTTTTTTAGAAAAGAGGGGGTTGGTAGTGTCGTGGAAATGCGGGAAAATGGTTTAGGTTGGTATTATATTATCACACACATGCTGGCGTATGATTAACTTAAGTAATAATACGCCACCTGATACCGCATTTTTATACCTTCGCATCTTGGACTTGTCATTCCATTTGTAACACCTCTAATATTAGCCGTAGACCCCATATATATTCGCGATTAGCATTCAATTCAAGTTCAATGGTTCTTAGAAAAAAATTTCTTCATAAAATTCAAGTCCAGTGAATGTTAGGAAAAAAATATATATTTTTAAAAAATCAATCTTTTGTGCCTCGTACCATCGCTCGTTACCGTGATACTGGTCGCGTAGCCCGACGTCAAGGAAGGGTACGGAATAACAGAATAACAGCAACATCAGCAGAAATGGTACGTAAATTAAAGAAGCGACTTGATCGAAACCCGCGTGGCAGCTAGTGAGCTAAACATATCGCAATATTCCACCTCAAGAAAGCGCTTCGCCGGGAATGGGCCAAAATGGGACCGCAGAGCAATATTCGGGCAGAGTGTGGGGGTTTCATTGGGCGTTTGAAGGTCATAATTCGTGCCAAAGGTGATCAATTCGAACGAATGTAAACTTTTTTTAAAATTTGAGGCTAATTTAAAAAAATGTAAGAATTATGGTTTTTCAGAATCTCTGTATTTCTTTTTCTTTGTGTTGCACAGATCTGAATTTTTCAAAAAATATTTTTTTACAAGTATTAACCGAGGTGGATTTTAAAAAAAAAAAAATTTCCAATTTTCAATAAACTTGGATTTAATAAAAAATATTTTTTCAAAGTTTCAATAAACGTGAATTTATTAAAAAATATTTTTTAATATTGGATTTATTAAAAAATATTTTTTCAAGTCTACAATAATCGTGGATTTATTAAAAAATATACAAGTCTACAATAATTGTGGATTTATTAAAAAATATTTTTTCAAGTCTACAATAATCGTGGATTCATTAAAAAATATTTTTTTCAAGTCTACAATAATCGTGGATTTATTAAAAAATATTTTTTCAAGTCTACAATAATCGTGGATTTATTAAAAAATATTTTTCCAAGTCTGCAATAATCGTGGATTTATTAAAAAATATTTTTTCAAGTCTACAATAATGGTGGATTTATTGAAAAATATTTTTCCAAGTCTACAATAATCGTGGATTTATTAAAAAATATTATTTCAAGTCTACAATAATCGTGGATTTATTAAAAAAATATTTTTTCAAGTCTACAATAATCGTGGATTTATTAAAAAATATTTTTCCAAGTCTGCAATAATCGTGGATTTATTAAAAAATATTTTTCCAAGTCTACAATAAACGTTGAGTTTTTAAAAATTATTTAAAAACAAAATCTAACATTTGTTAGTCCTTTGCTGTCCCTAATTATAAATATATTCCATAAGGACACCGTAACGTATGAGTGTTGTCAGCACGTATACGCCACCAGCAGGGTTTTGTTTTAAATTTGTGTTTATCTATTATTTATGGCATTCAAAATCAATTTTTTAAATTCTCAATTGGAAAATTAAAATCTTTTCCATGATTCCCCTCAATGTTATCGACCTTTAGATTACT